AAAACATAAGTATTCTCAATGGTATGTTATGCTAACCTCAAGGAAAATAAACTTTCTTCTTTATGTACTTCCATTACTCTTTTTTATTTTGGCTCAAAACTGCTCAATCAGTTCTGCCCCACCCTGTATATTGAGAGGTTGAAATTGGATTGACCTTTTAGGCAATTAGAAAGATTTTTCAACCTAATATGAGTATTCTTATTAAAATATAATTTTCAATTTTTAAATATGTCAATTTAAAACTAGAAACAAAACAATTACAATTACAAAACTATATATATACAATAATTAAATGCAGTGAATGGAAATAAAATGTTTGAATTGTGCATATGTTTAGCCATCCATTTTGATCCATATACTGTCATTGTTAGTAGGCTAATTTCAACATAAAAAAATTACATTCCAAAAAGACAAAAAAGCTAAAAAAAATCAAATATATAAAAAAAATCATGAATAAATAAAAAATATCATTGATTTTTGATTTTTTTCTTAAATAAAAAATATCACCAACCCTAAGGTAAAGAGAAACAAAGGAGTAAAAGGACTGAACTCAGAAGCTAGAAAAATGGCTGACTGGCTGAGCAACCAATGATCGTGAAAGTAAGTCATTGTCATATTTTACCTCAATGATATCATTTTGGAACCAACTTAAGTAACTAAGGAATTTTTCAGTTCAAATTTTTACTGATTTATTTATATCAATTTCAAAACTCCACATATTTCTAGACTTTAGAGGGAGTTGCAATGAGACCATGGGGTTGGACCGGGGGCCCTTAGGCTTAGTCTATTGCTACTTTCAAGGGGGCCAAGTGATGGGTTTAGACCATAGTGGCAAACCAGAGCTTTTTTGGAATCAGTTCATTTTTAATTTCCCCAAAACTCAAGATTTAAACCAATTTCTTAAGTATGATAATGCTGGTATCCATGATACTTTACTGGTCTAATTATAGGACTCAAAAATGAACTTGAAGGAGAGTCTAAAAAATTCTCTGCTTTGTCACTATGGTTTAGACTGCCACTGCTGGACTGCCCATACACTGATACAGCCATAAGAACTTTTAGACCACCCCATAGGGCCCATACAGCCATAAGAACCTCTCATCCTAGAATTCACTATAAATAGTTACCTAGTAGTGCCAATACTAACTAACTACCAAGTACTGCAGAAGATGAAAATTTTAAATGACATGTTTGTGATTTGTTTACCACATATCTAATGGTATCTTCAATCAAACAAAAGTAGCCTACATGACATTAGAGCCACAATATTTCATATCTACTGAAATTAGGTATACGATATTAAAGCCACAATATCTCAGAAAAAATTAGGACTTTTCTCAACTAGGGTAAATTTTTGACCTTTTTCCCTCAACATAGTTTAAGAGGAAAGTAAAATTTATCATATTTATGCTAATTATCCAAGACAAAGAGTATGAGCCTGATAGATGAAAAAATCTACATTACAAAATTAGCCATGGCCCAAAGTCAATAGAGGCATAGACCAATAATACCTATTATATGAACTGACCAGTGACCAACACGTAACACGGTAACAGAGCAGACTACCCTACTCTGTTAGTCCTGTACGAAAACGATCATATTAATACGATTACGATGCATATTTCGAATTGACAAATTAAATGGAATAAGCAGAGTATTTGAGGAACTAAAACAATTGACTACAGTTACTGTTAGGTGGCTTAAAAACGATGGGATTATTATCGACAAATTGACCATCATCGAAGAATTTCTATAGTAAGCTGTTTTCAGCCTATCAACTTCAAGTATTAACGGAGTTATTTTCTGGCAATGACACAAAGAAGTAATCAAACCCGTTCAGAAAAAAAAACAAGTAAACCATTCAGAGAAGCTAATAGCCACTTAATGAACTTCCAGGACAGTAATAATCGATTTTTCACTCCACATACATTTATGTTGAAGATAAATACATTCAAGAGATCATAGAGATAATAGCAACGGGCAGGATACTTTCCTCGCCAACTCCCACCCCTCTCCAAGGTTGTCAGCTCACTCAGCTGTTTCTTCTGAATTTTTTAGAAACGCAGATGAATAACAGAAAGTTTAATGAAATACTTTACTATAAGTCTAACTAGCAACATGAAACGTATAAAGTGACGAATCTGAGTAGTTTGATTTATTATATGTATATGAAGTACAAATTTCACACCTAATTGCGAAACATATCCACTACTACAATCTTTAGCATGAAGGTGCAAAAATGTTCAATCGTCAATACAATAGCAGCTGTAAATTGATATTCACCGATTGACGTGATGACGTCATTGACGTGATCATGCTCGATGAACTTGCAACCCTCTGTATTCCTGGTAGAATCAATTTGTTATATGCATACATTGCAACTGCCAACAAATGCTCGTTTAGCAACCTTCATTGTGATATTGTTCGTAACGACATTATGAGGCACTTCATCTGACCTTCATAATCCAACAACTCGGATATTGTATGCATGCTTTGCATGAGTAAATAATTTCCGTACGAAGTTTCGAAACCTGTTGAACTCCTACTTCTGAAAGTGTATGCACACGAACACTTCAAGACACGAACCACGGATGCGAAAAAATTGTTTACGAGTTAACCTTGTCAGGATTAGGCTCTTTCAGGTGCTTATTTTCTGATTTGCCTGCACGATTGAGCATTTTTTTTATACAAACAAGCAAATTTATTTCAGTACAGAAGACTTTCGCCGAGTTAGGGCTTTATTTTTTTACGCTGGGGTATTTTTGCCTACATGGTATTTAAAATGCATACAATTTAGATTCTAATAGCAGATGTAGTCAAATCCCGGTAGCTCACTATTGCTGATTGTCAACTGTAATCTCTTTCTATGTGGATGAAGAATTTATCCTGAAAGCAAATATTAGATAAAGCTGAAATGCGTTAATAACACAATAATGCATGGATTTTCTCTGCATGGAAGCCAAGTTACTCTAAACGTAATAAATCCCGTCGGACGGCAACATGATCTCGTTGCATCATCACAGGAGAGAATATGAGGAATCAAACATTTACGCGGTCGCAAACACAGGAAATATAAACGAATTTCAGAAATAATTCTATATTATACTAATACACGACCATTAATTTTCATCAGAATCTATTAAATCTTCATAGTTTTTCAATGGAAGTACTTTTCTCAGGCATTGTTCGTTGTAAACCATTACTTTATTGAGAAATGCATTGTGTTCATGGCCAGTATCGACTGATGTTTCATTGGGCTGAAACTGCTGGGGATGGGCAGGAGCGAGACCCAAAAATGCGGGCAGTTGCAGAGCGCGTCTGCCGGTGGCCTCCTGGTGGGTCTCGCAGAGCGCGATGATGCAGCGCGGCACCGCCACGGCCGTACCGTTCACAGTGTGCACCAACCTTTTGATATTTCAGAGACAACATGCAAAATATTCTGAAAAATATTATAGCTTTATTAATAATGCATATCAACACAAGCTGTTAATTCTTACAGGAAACAAAATTGTGATCATGTGCCGTACTATCAAACATATTTGCGAGATCGAAATTTCGTTAGCCCATCATAGACGACAGTTCAAGCTAAATCCACCAATCGTAGACTAGAAGTCGGCTGCTATGTGTACTTAGGCCGTTACGTGAGTATTGATAGTGGTACTGTCCAAGAGAAGGTGGGCATTGGAAAGCATCAGCAAGCCAATTTGGCATAATAAATTTTAGTGTTTTTTCTCATCTTCTGCTTATCACTAAGAAGAATAAGGGTTTCACAACTAACTTTTTTGCATTTGAATCCCGTAACGACCAGTTCATAACAGAATATTTACTTAAATAAAAACATCTATCTATTCTATATATTATATTCATTCTATATTCATCTATATCTATCAATTCCCTAAATTAACCTCAGGTATCGTGGAGACATGCTCAGTGAACTTGCATCAATAATTTTGGACCAGTAATAATTAAAAACCAGAAAGCTCAAGGTCTATAAAGAGAATAATGTCTGACCAAAAAAAAAAAATACTTACCAACCATAACAAAGAGAAGAAAGGAATTAGTAGGCGCAACCATATTTTGGGTATTCAGATCTCTCGTATGCTATGCTCTATTTCAACTTCCACGTTTACTCAATGGTAAAGAGATTTTGAAAATTTGGTTAGTTAGTATTTATTTTATTTTTCATTTTTTCACTCCACCGATCACATCATCACTATACATCGAGTATACAAGATGAAGGCCAAGAGATAAATGGGAACGTCCGAGTTAATACCGAAACATCTTTTGTAGTAGCTCAATGTTAACTTGGTGTAAAGTAAATTAGCTGCTGGAGACTCTTATGTAGTTTTCCAGCCTTAATTAACACAGCTGAATAAGATGACGCAATGTTTACAAAGCAATAATCGCGCCAATTAAACAATATAAATCGCCACGCCGACATCGCTATGTTCTGTTAAAACAACTGCTCATTCTTTAAGGGCTGTTTGAAGCTAATTTAAAAAAGTTAATACAAGAAACTTGTGAACTGTAAAGGGTTTTCGCCCTCAAAAATCACCTATGCACGGTGGCAAGCGCCCAGTCTCTGCTCCCGGTCTTTTATTATAACTTCTCAGTTAACAATTAAAAACTAGAACATTTGGCAGGTGGAATCTTGAGATAAGAAATTACCTATGTTTGCAAAATAGGTTTGATTGCTGTTAAGTTTCTTTCATCTTCCTCTTAAGGCTGATAAGCATTCTTTGGTCAGAATTGAATGTATAGTACATGAATATGTACAGTAATAATGATGCACTGCATTACATACTTGCGCTGGCCTTTCTTGTTGACATAAGAAGCACCGAGACGAGCAGCCTGGTAGCTCGTGCAGTTTGAGGCTGAGGTGAGCTCAGCATAGCGTCTACGCCCTGGCAACCAAACCTCCAGGTCCGTCTTGCTGTACGCAGGATTGCCCAGCTCTTCCGGTGGCATCAGCACAACCTTCAATGTATTTTTTATTCAGAATTCATTGTTTATTGGAATCAAGGCTCAACTAGAATTGTTGTTACTTGAAAGGAAAAATATAAGAAATTGTTCTTTGCAAGTTGCTGAAATTTTACACATACATAGAAAACCGAGTTAGAAAGCAAACGCAATATATTTACAAGTACCTGGCATTCATCAAATATGTAAGTAAGCCTCAATGTGCTCTCAAAACTTGGCACATCAAGCTGAACAGTAACAAACAGTTTGTAAATTTGACTTGAATGATGCAAGGGCAAGGAATTATATCAGAAAATTTAGCATAACATATTTTTTCAAAATACATCATATTATATAAAAATTTAATGAAGGTATCTAAACACAGTTGGAGGATCTTCTTGGAGTAGAGTATTCCAGTCTGTTGAAACACTAGATCAGAAATTTTTTGTGTCATGCAATGGTGCTGACTCCAATTTTTAATCAATCTCAGCTGATTCATTAAGAAGTTACAGTGGAAATTGTAAAGCTACAACTGGTTAGAGCACATACATTTTATTTATAAATTCCAGAATTTGTCTTGAAAGTTATCATGATACATGGAGTTGCACCAGTTTCAAAAAAGGATATAAATAAAAATTTCAGAAATAGGACAAGAATCATTTTAGGTACGTAATAATTTGACAGTGTGAAAAGTTTAGAGATATAGCAACTAATAAAACAGATAACATTTTCTGTACCCTAGTACATTTATAAAACAAAATACAGTACAAAGATTATTTGCAGTGTTTTTGAACCTCACAAATTCTGCAATAAGGGTTAAGGGATCATAAGCCCCAACAAACATAAACAAATGATTTATAATTTAGTAGAAGAATGACACAAATGTTGTGTGCAGGGTAAACTTATAGGGAAGTTAATTTTTGAAAATTTTTAGATATCACCTGTCCGTGGAGCCCAAGTCCTTGCAGCAGTTCAATCTGTATTTGCACAAGCTCTTGATAAAGATCATCACTCTCTTGGCCTGTTTCATTGGATGTTATTCCAAACATCTCTACCTTTGTGAAGTGATGAACCCTGCAGTGACAGTAAAAAAAAATGAGACATAGGTTTAATTAAAAGGTCAATATTTAATATTCTTGAACAATAAGTGTACAATTAGTGTAGATAAGGACTAAATGGTTGTANTGTATTTTGCACGTTTCAATTCAAGTTTAATTTAGCTAGTAAAAAATGGCATCATTTATAAAAAAAGTGGTCAAAGTTACCCCATTTTACGGTATCAGATAATGAGTGGACCAATAAGAGCCAGATTCATGATTAAGGTTAATACTCTGACCTAAAAATGCCTTGTTCCAGCTTGAGTTTGCTGGTCTCGGCTCTATAGCAGCGAGACACAGCACACAACTTGAGTGGTAGCTGCTCCTCAGTAAAGCTGTGATTACGAAGCCAGCCTCCCAATGCCATCTCTGATGTGCCCGATAAACACACTTTCTTTGATTCTTCTTTGCTGGGTGATGGCAAGCCTGCATGAATGATGGCATCAATTTAGGTTTTTACCCTTTATTAACCAATAGTAACTTAAGTACTCATGAATCTCAATAAATATCAATATAAATTTAAAAATTTACAGGGTAAAGAGTCAATGCATAGCTCAACACTGATTGTTTGCCTTTTGTCTAAAAAAACATGCATTTCATTGCAACTTAGGTACAACAGTTGAATCAAACTTCTAAGACCTGAAAGCAATGAAGGTACAAAAACAATAATGACCAAGAGATAATGACCAGTGAAAATCAAGGCTAGACAAATCAAGCAAGAAGAAACACAGCTCTGATTTAGCTTAAATTGTGCACCGAAATTGCCATACCTACCTACCCAAGTGACTGGGGCTAACAGAGTACACCATTGTTCTCTCGCCATGCACTGGCACACCACAGCTTTCCAGAATGTCTTCAGTCACCAGGTCTGGCACAGACATCAACTTGAAGCCCTTTCTCTTGAGATGCTCAAGTGCATACCTGAGGAATAACCATGTCTTCATAGACACAATTGTTTACGAAAAATATTCATTACAATTACAGATATCCAAAAATATTTGCGCACTGTCTTACATTTAAATACAAGAAATAAAATTAAATAAGATTTTTAGTAGTTCAAAAAATAGGCTTGGATTAAACACAAACTGGAAGTCCATATATAAATAGTTCAGTTTGATCTGGAAATGGACATGAAACTATAAGCAAGGCAACACAAAAATGGGGAGAGAGTAAGGGACCTGAGGCGACCAAAGGATGGAATGAGGATGGAAGGTGAGATGACTGTTTTGCATTTAGACCAATTGGATAAAAATTTAATGCTAAATTAGAAATTGACTCCTAAGCATCCTCAGGGGCTTGGAAAAAAATTGGAGTTAAGCCTAAGTTTTTTATTTTACCCAAGTGACTGATTGTGTTCAAGCACTCAAGCATTCTTGACATACCCTAGTAGGTATCTTTTCCCATTTCAGCTTAGTGTATGATTTATTCTTGTAGCTCAGTTTCCAAGCTTGTATTCCAAGTAAATAAAATATAAATTACGCCCATGTTATCAGCAAGAACAGATATGACAAAAAAATGCAATTGACAACTTGTATGAGAAACACAACTTTTGACTAGATGAATAAATTTGAAAAAATTAATTATATGTGGAATACAAAATTCAAATATACCTAACATTAAATAGAAAATAAATACAATGAATAATGTACCGGGGTTAGACAAAATATGGGAAACCTTAGAAATCAACAAAATATATTTTAGTACCAGTATGGTGAAAGTCAACATTTGCAGCAATTACAGCCTCAATTCTCCAAGATGCCAATTCAAACAAATTACAAAGTGTTTCCAAAGGAATTTTAACACATTTTTCAGTTAAAACTCCCTCCAGATCTTTCAAAGACAATGGCAGAAGGAAATGACTTCTAACTTGAATCTCTAAGATTGACCATAAATGCTTGATAATATTCAGGTCTGGTGATTGTGATGGGCAAATGAAATGCTCAAATTCATTAGTTTTCTTCATGCAATTTTTCAACAATTCCAGCAGTATGAATTGGGGCATTATCATCTGGAAAGATTGTGTTCCCCTCCAAAAACAGTGCTTGAACCATTGGATAAACTAGGTCCTCAAAAATTTCTAAATAATCATGGCTGTTGATTCTTCCATGAAGATAAATTATGGGTCTGCTGGGTTTCCAATAAATAAATAATCCCCACCATGTTTTACAATTGGGAGGAGGCAGTCGGGACTAAATGACTCTTTTGGCAGTCTCCAAATGTAAACTTGGCCAGAGGTTGAAAATTAGGTAACCAATGAATTGTCAGAGGAAATCAAATTTTTCGGACTGCTCAAGGAACCAATTCTGGTTCCTTGATTCACCACACTAAGTGCTTTGAAGCATTTGTATTTGAAACCAGAGGTTTTCTATTTGCAGTTTTTCCATTGAATTCAGATCTGTGCAGCTCTTGGCGGACAGTCTTTATTGAAAATGGGTTCTATAGGTGTCCATTGATGTCTGCAGTAATTTTAACAGCCTGGTCTTTTGACTGTCCCTCACATTTGGATTTAGGTACCAACAGTCTCTCTCAGACAACTTCAACTTTTGGTTAGACCTGTGCTTCACAGATGACGTTTTGCCTTCTTTTCTAAAAGCAGTCATTACTTTTGAGACAAAACCTCCGGAAATGTCAATCATTCGGGAAGTTTCTGTCACACTAGCACCTGCCACACAGGCAACAATTTGTCCTCTTTGAAAGTTGGATAGGTTAAAGGATAGGTTATAGACACAAAAAGTTACTAAAAATATCTGTGCAGGGATGAAATATCAATTACCAGCAACAATAAGCAATAAAACATAAAAATTATGTCACATTTTTATTGTTTATAACATTTTAAAAAATTATTATATAAAAATGTAAGGCATTTCTCTCATTTTGTCCAACCCCTTTATATCTTGTAACACACAAATAGCACATTTTAAAAATCAATTCTAGGTTTTGAGGAATATCTTCAATTAAAATATTCTCCATTACACAAAGAAATGTAAATGACAGTACCGGTAATCAATATTGTACTCACTGGGTCAGTTTAGATTCTAGATGCGCCATTGAGCCTCTAAGATAATAACTGCGACTGCCTGTGAAATTGCCAGTCATGTTCATGTCAACTCCATGGTGGGAGAGCTGCTCAAGCATCAAGGCATCATCCAAGACACGTTTTGTCCCAAATAATCCGATGATTTTTGGTCCAGAAAGTTCTTCAGCAATTGGACAAGTAGCATTTGGTAACTTAGACAGATTTTTGTACATATTTATTAATTCATCTTCAGATGTAACTGAATTTAAGGAAAACTTAGTTGCTATATCCACCAAGTAATTAATATTAACTTCACATCCTCGTCTGCTAGCACTGACTTTAAGCTTTTCTCTAGCATCACCATCACTTAGAGCATAATTTTCTAAAAGATTAGTAAGCTTAAAATGAAGAGCACTAGAACCATTACTATGTGAAAATGATTTAAACTGGGTAAGACAGCAGGTGCTTCTTGAGAAGATGTTTTTTCCACATAAATTCATTTTTATTCCTTTTAGTTCAGAATAAAAGTCTGCAAAAAATGGACAAATTTAACTTTCTTATTAATTACACAGGAAATCATTGTCATTTGTAAGATAAAATTTAATAAATCAAGCAAGACACCAATGAAAAATATTTCCTAGATTTTATTATAGTTATTTTCCATAAAATCTATTACACATTATGACAAAGCAAACTACCATCAAACGGGGTAAAAAGTGACAGGCGGGGTAAATAGGGACGCGTGTTCCACATTTTGTTGAAATGTTGTAGCAGCTAAACTAATCAAAATATTGCAAAACTAAAAATAGTGGTGTAAACTTCAACATTTTTACTATCTATTATGTCTAAAGCTAGTTAAGAAATCAAACATTTACCATCTCTAAAAAATCGCGGAAAAAAGTGTGAAAAGTGCAATTTTGGAAAAGTACCTCTGCTAAGGTATGGAACAAAAAAAATATTTGCCATATTAAAAAATTTTACTTACATAAAAGTTGCACCCAGGTGTCAGCTTGAAAACGTAAGACAGATTTTGCCTATCTCATTCCAAAAAAAGGCAGCCATTTCCGCATGACGGGGTGAAAAGGGACACCCCCCTAGGGACTGGGGTAATTAGGGACACCCTTAAAAATGCATTTACAGTAGAACCTCAGTTAGCAAAGGCTTCAGTTAACAAAAAAATTGATTAACAACAAAGAATTTTGATTACAGTTACCTTGCTTGGTGAAAAAAATTCACTTATCAAAAAATTAGTGCATAATCGGTCGTACAAAATTGTACATAGAATGCTATACTGTACATAGAATTGTGCACCGGGCATCATAGAATGAAAAGTAATTGACCTAAAGTATGATTTATTTCTTCAGAACATATGATGGTTGTCACTAAAACATTATTTTCTGTTTCAGGTGTTTTTCACGATCTTTTTTGTTATAGTGAAATCACTAGACTCGATTAAAATTGTGCAAAATTACAAACCATCCTGTAAGCTTATAGATACAAAAAAAATGCTACATGGCTGCTGATATGAAGCTTGCACTGGACAAGGTTATTGTCAATGCTCAATGGCATGTCCATGGATACAGTAATATCACATTAATAATACGGTAATTAATGAATATGGTAATATCATATCAATAAAGGAAAAACAAGCAAAAATCACAGAAAATGTCATTTATTCTGCATTTACATCATCTACAAAGGAAGAGGAGGACTTCAGAGCACTGTTAGTAATACATGAGTACCTACACTTTGCATGCTTCAAATGTTTAAAATTGAGTTTTATGCCAAGTGTCCCTTTTTACCCCATTTCCAGATTAATTATAGAGCCTTTTATATTGTGTCTAGCACCTTACAAATAGCATATGGAATTTTTTTGAAGATGCCATTTGATAGCCCTTGCTAAGAGCTATAAAATGAGCCTAAACTTGTTTCTGAAATGTTTCATGGTAAGAAATTATTAACAAAAAATGCTCAAAGCCGTCCCTTTTTACCCCGTTTGATGGTATTTTTTCTTTTGACTCTTCTAGTCTTCATTTCTGAGTCCCATAAGTGGTAGCTAAACAAAGTATTATGGATAGCAATATTATCACAACACAATTATTAATGAACTGGTTTCTGATCAAAATCATGTTTGATACTATGAAAACTAATGTCAATTTATTGCTACTGAAGTTGCTTGGTGCAACCACACTAAAGTTGCCAGAAGTACAGACTAAGAAGTCTCAAAAAGCTAGCCTTAAAATTGGAGCAATCTATTCTTTTAACAAATTGAAACCTCAACTTTCTGACACAATCTAAAAACCTTTGTAGACTTAATGTGGTAAAGCTCTAAAGAGACCTTGGCTTCAGAAAACAAATTGTAGTTTTGACTGTGCCAAAGAGTGGCAAGTCAACCTATAGGGGCAGCATAGATATTCTGAGTAGCGGTGTGGCACTTATGTGTTCTTGCCTTTTTTTATTGATTTCAAGATATTGGGTGTGAAGAAGTCTTACCTACCAACCTGAGCACAACTGGATTTTTGTTGGTTTCTGTCACACTCTCACAAGGCAGTGGTTGTTGTGTGGAGGAAGAAACAAAAAAATTAGGCCCTGATTTTTTTAAAGGGAGTTCAACATGCTACATCGCAGCAGGTGTCATCCCAGGTTACAAATAGCAACAGTTCTCATTTATTTGAGGGGTATGGCTGAGATCTCCAGGGCTGAGATGAGGTTGCAAGATAGTGAAAGGTTTCGAGTACACCGGTATCCGGCTTTTCAATGGGGAAACAAGGATGTTGCCCACCCATGGCAGTCCTCTTGGTGCTGGGTTTGTATATACCAGTTCATTAGAAACAGCTGTATGCCAAGGTAATTCAGCAATTAGTCCAAAAAATCTCAAACTTACCAGCATTCTGTGCAATGACAATGGAGGGATATGGCTCTCTACTTCCAAGGATATAATGGGTGATGTTTTCCGGGCTCCAATTGCTATTCGTAGGCACCAGTTTTGGATAGTGTTCAACTTCTGCAGGTGTGTGTTGGGCGCAGTAGAGTAAAACATTGAGCCATAATCTATTGTGGCTCTGATCACTGATTTATAAAAGTTTAACATCATTTCTCATCAGCCCCCACCTGTGAGTCAACATCGACTGCATCAAGTTGACTCGTGAGTTGCACTTGTCTCGAAGGTACTACAGATGGTCATGCCACATCAAGCCAGGGGCATCCAGCATCATACCCAGGAACTTATGATGATTGACAAACTCAATTTGTTCAGGTCCTACCTTGATTACAGGGTTTGTTATTGATTTCCTAGTGAAAATCATACCCTTGCTTTTAGCAGGGTTAACAGAGAATCCCCACTTGAGCATCTATTCATGGAGCTGGCTCACCTGGGATTGAAGTTTTTCCTCAACGCGTCTCACTAGAACACCACTAGAGTATACTGCTAAGTTGTCTGCGTATTCTGAGATTTTCACTTCTGGTACATGGGGCAAATCTGATATGATATTGAACAGTGTGGGAGAAAGGACTGATCCCTGTTGGACCCCGTGTCAAAATGGGGAGCTCGTCGGAATAAGCACCTTCAAAGAATACCTTAAAGGTGCGTGAGCTTAGGTATGCGTTGATCCATGACAACATTCGTCCTCTAAAGCCAATCTTCTGAAGCTTGTACAGCAGCCCTAGGTGCCATACACAGTCATAGGCATTGGATAGGTCAAAGAATACTGCTGCACATACGTGCCTCCTGCTCAAGGTGTGTTGGATGCACATTTCCAATCTAGCAACCTGATCCAAATTCCAAGGCAAAAAGATGGTGCCAGAAGCCACTCTGGGTGGGGCTCAGACTCCTCGAGGTCTCCAGAACGTATGTCAGCCGTGAGCTAATAAGTTGCTCTAATAATTTTGGAATGCAAGGCAAGACTATGATAACCCCCATGCCACCATCATACACACTAAGTATGGGTATGATGGTGGCATGTCTCCACTGACTCCACATGGTAGGTATCTCCCCATTCTTGTAGCTGTAGCTTAATAAATCCAGGAGCCAGTCTTCATAGTCTAGTGAGAGGTGCTTTAACATATCATTATGCACCATGTCATGGCCTGAGGATGACCTATTCAATACCTTCAAAGCTTGCCGCAGTTCATAAAATGAGAATGAATCATTATATGCAGTAGGATGCTCTTCACTTACAGCCACAGCAACAGGGAGTATAAAGGACTCCCCAGCAGGGTGAGAAGTGCGAACCTCTTAGGCCTACTGCAACCACCAAGCTTGCATATTGCTCAGCCATTATGTATGCACTCCACCACAATTTGCACACTTGAGTGTTGAGGTGCTTTTGTTTGGGCAATTGGACACACTGTGGGGGCCTGAGCACACTACACAACGCACCTTGAATGAGTTGAATCTACAATAGCTGCATTGTGGCGAAAACCTTGGCACTTGTAACATTGCCAAGGCTCATCTACACATAATCTAACATTAAACCGTTGATAGCCTACTATTATGTATTCTGGGAGTTCCTGGCCAGAAAAGGCTATCTTCAAGCACTTAGTAGGTATCTTGTCTCTGCCTTTGACTATCCTAGATACAGCTTCTACTGTGAAGGTACTGCAGATGGTCATGCCACATCAAGCCAGGGGCATCCAGCATCATACCCAGGAACTTATGATGATTGACAAACTCAATTTGTTCAGGTCCTACCTTGATTACAGGGTTTGTTATTGATTTCCTAGTGAAAATCATACCCTTGCTTTTAGCAGGGTTAACAGAGAATCCCCACTTGAGCATCTATTCATGGAGCTGGCTCACCTGGGATTGAAGTTTTTCCTCAACGCGTCTCACTAGAACACCACTAGAGTATACTGCTAAGTTGTCTGCGTATTCTGAGATTTTCACTTCTGGTACATGGGGTAAATCTGATATGATATTGAACAGTGTGGGAGAAAGGACTGATCCCTGTTGGACCCCGTGTCAAAATGGGGAGCTCGTCGGAATAAGCACCTTCAAAGAATACCTTAAAGGTGCGTGAGCTTAGGTATGCGTTGATCCATGACAACATTCGTCCTCTAAAGCCAATCTTCTGAAGCTTGTACAGCAGCCCTAGGTGCCATACACAGTCATAGGCATTGGATAGGTCAAAGAATACTGCTGCACATACGTGCCTCCTGCTCAAGGTGTGTTGGATGCACATTTCCAATCTAGCAACCTGATCCAAATTCCAAGGCAAAAAGATGGTGCCAGAAGCCACTCTGGGTGGGGCTCAGACTCCTCGAGGTCTCCAGAACGTATGTCAGCCGTGAGCTAATAAGTTGCTCTAATAATTTTGGAATGCAAGGCAAGACTATGATAACCCCCATGCCACCATCATACACACTAAGTATGGGTATGATGGTGGCATGTCTCCACTGACTCCACATGGTAGGTATCTCCCCATTCTTGTAGCTGTAGCTTAATAAATCCAGGAGCCAGTCTTCATAGTCTAGTGAGAGGTGCTTTAACATATCATTATGCACCATGTCATGGCCTGAGGATGACCTATTCAATACCTTCAAAGCTTGCCGCAGTTCATAAAATGAGAATGAATCATTATATGCAGTAGGATGCTCTTCACTTACAGCCACAGCAACAGGGAGTATAAAGGACTCCCCAGCAGGGTGAGAAGTGCGAACCTCTTAGGCCTACTGCACCCACCAAGCTTGCATATTGCTCAGCCATTATGTATGCACTCCACCACAATTTGCACACTTGGGTGTTGAGGTGCTTTTGTTTGGGCAATTGGACACACTGTGAGGGCCTGAGCACACTACACAACGCACTTTGAATCTACAATGGCTGCATTGTGGCGAAAACCTTGGCACTTGTAACACAGTAACATTGCCAAGGCTCATCTACATATAATCGAACATTAAACCGTGGATAGCCCACTATTACGTATTCTGGGAGTTCCTGGCCAGAAAAGGCTATCTTCAAGCACTTAGTAGGTATCTTGTCTCTGCCTTTGACTATCCTAGATACAGCTTCTACTGTTGGTCTCATATTAGATAGCAATTGAAGAACTTCAGCAGGATCTGTTTCTGCCCCAATAGGCCCTATGACTCCACAAATTCTCTGTAGTCTGTCTATTCTGTGGTAATCAACAGTGAACTGGAAAAGCACCAATAAACTTTATTGCTAGCAGCTCTTTGAGCTTTGCCTTAGGAACTTCCTTTAGTTCCTTAATAGTAACTATCAAAAGATTTCTGCTCCTATTTTTGCTCACTGATAAAATTCCAACCTGAACCCAAGGCTGAATTTGCCAGATTTCTGGTCAGTGGTCAATCTTACCTCATTGGCAAAATATGCCCCAGCTGCCTGAATGCCTCCATTTGGCTCAACTAGTATTTCCCTTGAAGTTTCTTCTGTTTCTTTAGCCTGAGAGTACTCCCCAATCTGCTGAACTGGCTTTTCCACCATGCCTGCTAAGGAAGAAGGAGATTTTTCTTGATTAGACTGAAAATTTGCTATTCGGTTTTTTCTAATACTTACAGGGGAGAATCCATGGAAGGACTCCCTAGAGTCTGAATGCTTGCTTGGACCATGGTCAAAGTTTCCAGTTGCTTTCCACTTTCAGTTTACTAGAGCTAAGGGAGTAGGGACTTGCATTAGTAAGCGACCCTACAGCTACAGGTGAGTTTTCTTGAGGGTTAGGACTTTCATCTTCAATAAATGGTCCCACCAGGGCCTCCACCTGCTTAGCAGCACTCTCTTTGGAAGCCCAGCTAGTCCTGGGTAGGCTAGGTAATGGCCATTCTGCATAATCTGAATCTCTATTTGGGGAGATGTATTCATCCACCCCAGCTAGGGATCCCAAAGAGTTCTCACCACTAGACTCAGACCCCTCTATCACTTTCCTGTTACTTGACACATTTCTCTCCACACTATGGCTATGGGTCTGCTTAAAAGTACTCCCACCTACTGTTGCCACTTGCCAGTTGTGTCTCTGACACCACTGATGAGTTTAATAGGGCGAGTCTATCTCTGTCCTCTCCCACTACCATCCGGGCATCCCTGAAACTGAAATGACTTCATCATACAATGCTAACAATGGCGCAGGCGATCCACTTAAACCTGTAGAATTAGGATCCATTCTCTATTTAGATCTTTTACCTACCGAAAAATAGGGAAAGTTCAAACTTCTAATCGATTATTTAACTACAGAAGCGAAAATTTTGATCGTATATAAGTACTTATATCATCAGTCTGCTTATATCGCAAGTTCACAAGGAATTTAAAAGCAAAGAAAACGCCAAGAAAATTCACCATATCGATATTGAAAACGTTTCGGAGTCCAGCTCCATCATCAGTTCGACTAAACTAAAAATGAATAAAATCACTTTAAAAGTCAAAATTCAAAGACAGACATAAAACCTAAACAAGACCTA